AAAAAAACACCATTGCTGTTGAGTTGATTCTGACTCATAGAGACCCTATAGCACTTTGTATGTTACTTCTTATGCACCTAATATGTGCTTCCTTGTATTAGTAGAAGTTCAGAGGTTGGTCTGAAGAGCCGAACTCTGAATCCTAATGTGGGCTCTACCGTTGACAACTGTGTGACTTTAATGCCTAGTTTCTTCATGGGTAACTTTGGGATAAGGAGCCCTCTTGGCCACGGTGGCATGATGGTGGTTAAGTGCTTGGCTGCTAACGGAAAGGTTGATGGTTCGAACCCATCAGCCGCTCTGCAGGAGAAAAAACCTGGCAATCTGCTCCCATAAGGATTACAGGCTAGGAAACCCTATGGGACAATTCTACTCTGTCATATAAGGTTGCTATGAGTAGGAATCAACTTGACAGCAACAGGTTGTGAGGTTATATGTATATTATGTACATATATATAATATTTCTATTTTTATTCACTTATTTTTTTTTTTTAACTTCTCTAAAAACTGAACTGTGAAAGAAAAGCAGGAACTTCTACAGTTTTCTGGAGGAACTTAAGACATTTTGAAGAAATCCAGCCTCATCTTATGTCATGTTTATATAGCAGATAAAGAATTCTTATTGGAAGTAGCAAATTAATTCTCAGGCCCCAGCACAAGACCTGACACACAGTGGGTTCAGGAAAGATATATTGACCTGAGCGGACCTGGGTCTGGAGTGTCTACACATGGCATCCCTCCCCTCTGACAAGGCCTCTCCTGCATTGGGTACTGAGAAGATTATGAGTTCATTGAGGATCTGGTTCTTAGACCCTCTTTTTCCTGGCAGCCTTTGCTGCCTCCTGCTGCTCTCTTCCATGCTGCTTGGCACTGGGCTCCTAGGTCAGTTGGTGGCAGCCAAGAGGGGAAGCTGGCAGTCCTCTGCTGAGGTAAATGACAAGGAGCTGGCTCACATAAAGGGAGGCCCAGTTTTTTGGAGATTGTGTCTGGTTCACAGGATCCACCCAGCCCATTTTCCCTGAATAGCCCCATCTTTTCAGTTACATAAGCTGTACATTTCTCGGAATGTGTTTGAGTTCTTTTTTTATATAAGGAATTGTTGGAATATTTTGTTGAATTCACCAAATTGATTTCAGCATAATGTAAAAACAATCTGCTGTTTTTCTATTAAAACAATTTTAGCATAGTAAAAGGAATGAGAAAGAGCAAGGAATATATTAATTTTGTAGACCTACCATGAAAGAGTGAAAAATGTCAGTGTTTGTGTAGAAAAAGATAATGAAAGACATTGTTGAGTGTTTTCAAGAACCATTTAAAGAACATTTGATTTTCATCTGTAGTCAAATATGTCCTTAGGTAGCTTGTGTTACCCAGCAGAAGTTCACGATATTAAATATAAAATTATGTATACGTAATGGATTTCCAACAGTTGTCATAAACAAGCTTTTCATTACACTAAGGCTTCTAAGGGTATCTTCAAGTTTTGCGTCCAGGTATTTCCCAGCAGTTTTCCAAAGTTTATATGATTTCAGAATAGTCTTTTGAATAAACAAATGTTGTAGGTCAGATCATTGCATCTTATTTACTAACCTCCTGAATATTTTCTCCAGTTTAATCAGTGATATTTAATAATGCATAAATAATCATAGTGCTTATTATTTGTAAAATACACTTGTTTTAGCAGAACTTTTTCTCAGACTTAATATGTCTTTATTGAGTAATGTACAATGAAACCGTGAATCAAGAAGTGTTATTTTTGCCTTTTTATAAAGTCTCAGTGTTTTTAATTAAGCCATTATCCATTATAAAAAAAAATCTGGGCTGTTGTGCCCTTACATCTTTTAAAAATTATTTTAGCATGTGTTTGTAGTAGATTTTTAGAAAATTAAAGCAGTATGGCAAGACTTAGAAGATACCTTTATTTAGAGCCTTTATTTTATTAAGGATGTACTCCTGATTTTTGTTAGGTATCTTGGATCAATCTGCTGTCTGGGTTGATGAAATGAATTATTATGATATGCGCAAGGACAGGAATAAAGGAATTCCTCCTTTGTCCCTACGTCCTGCTAATCCACTTGGAATTGAGATTGAAAAGTGAGTATCATCTTGCCTTCGGTTTTCTTTGTTTCTCAGTTGCTGAGAAGTTTTGTATACTTACAGTGAAGGGAGTACAATTCCAGAAACTTCTGGGAGCATAAGTGAAGACACCTCAGTTGCTTGGAGACTGTGTTATTCCTGAAGCCTGGTCAGCTTTGCTGTTGGAGACCATTCTCCATTAGTGAAAACTCTGGGCAAAAACAACATACCTCTTTAGTTTTTTGAGTTTGCATTTCGTGAAAAAGAAAAGTGTCTTGGAGTTTTAATAACTAAGAGATTTAACAATTTGAGCATTACCATGTTATCTGGAGTTGGTCAGTTTAAATATTTAGAAGGTACTTAAAATCAAAATAGAATTTACTCTTTATCTATTTGCTTTATTTTTCTAGAAATATTTTAGAATAATGAGGTCCCGTCTGGTCTTTCATTTTGTCTGTAACCCCTGCCTATAATTCATACTTAACCCAGACTTAATTATCTTTAATCATCAGAATTGTGCCAGGTAAATGCTATATTTCAAGGTGTCTTACAACTAGATCTAGAGTTTTCTTAAGCCCTAGTACAGTATTTCAGTAACTTCTATCATTACTGTATTTATCCTTGTATCTTAAGCTATTCATCAGATGTATTGTGTGTAGTTTGTTTTATGGCTTAGTAATTCTACTTATGGAGTTAGCTATTGAGTGTTGCTCCATAAACAATAAAAGTGACAAATTAGTTCTGTTAATACTTTAACTATAGCTTTATTTTAGATTTTTTCTAGGAATGGAGAAAATTCCCCTCTAGTCTTTATGTATTTAATCTTCAAGCCTGTACTTGAAGACAGTAGTTCAGACAACACCCTTCTTTCTCACAAACTGAGGTTTTCTCTTAGCTTAGAGGGAGGGCGCAGGTGTTTCTGTTGGGAAATTGTCAATGCGTTGACAGAGGCCTTTAATGAAACTGGGCAGTCCTAGGTGCCTTCTTTGAAGCATTTTGGCACGTGAGTGGTTGTTGAGATGTTCTAAGGATTTCAGTGTTCTCTAAATTAAGAGTTGAAAGATTGAGAAAGTCCAGAAAAGAATGACAATTGCTAGATATTTATTTGAGCACAGTTGTAAGCATGAATAGACTTTGCGGTTGATAGTAGCCCTTTGATGGTCTGCTTCAACACTTCTGTAAGCCACCTTCTTTCCAGGCCTGCCAGGAAGCTGTGTAAAGCAGAAGATCTCTTTGGATTATTCTCTTATTAGAAAGATACAAAAAGAGTGTAGGTATATGGTGCAAATGGGGTCATTTAACTATGACCTTTTCTTAAACTTTCTTAACATTATCAACTCCATTTTCTAACCTCCTGGAGCATGTTGACCAAGACATTCTCCTTGGATCAAGCTATCATTGACAGATATCTTTTAACAGACAATTCCTCATGCAGGCTTTTTTTGACCCTTGGTCTTATAGTTCAACTTTTATCAGAAGCTCACTCGTCTCTTCAGGACAACGGGGCAGAGACCTTGGGCCAAGCTACAGTTTAATTCAAAATGGAATTTAATTTGGGTCTAGGTCAGCCATCTTAGTCCTGTCAAGCACCTCAGTTTTGGGGTTCACACAGTCATGCCAAGCATCTTGGTGTAGGGGTCCATGTACATCTCCCCCTTTTGATCAGTCCACCATTAGGGGGCGCAGATCATCCATAAAGAAATTACCCATCTTCTGCAAGGACTTAGTCTCTCGCAGATAGTTGCTCTGTTGAGCTTTTAATACTCAGTATTTTGGGGATGGCTGCTCTGTTTAGCTTTTAAGACCCCAGGTGCCAGCTCTGTTACTAGAAGTGGCCGGGTGCCATCTGATGTTACCTTGCTATAGCTTCTGGTCCTCTCTTCACCTTGCTATAGCTTTGGGCCTCATCTTCAGGGTGAGTGAGTTGATTCTGATTGGGGCAAATGTGATGGACAAATCCTCATTAGAGGAATAACTTGACATTTCTGAAAGGCCTGATCCAAGAACTAAAATACATCCTCCTTTGAAAAATTAGTCTCTTCCAAATGCATAATTGTTTTCATGGCCACATGTCTCGAGGGTTGGCTGTGGCAATGAAAAATGCAGTACATAATACATTTAACATGCCACATAATAACAGTTACAGTGATCAAAAGGAGTAGGCAGGCCCATGGAAAGCATATCCCAGATCCAATGCTTGGGGTAACCAGCTAAAAATATCAAAGAAGGAAGGTACGGTCATGGGGGGAATGGTACGTAACCAGGAGGCTTTTTGACATATTTTAGAGATAGCTTGTTCTACTTCTCTAGAGGTGTTTATCCATGAACAGCAAGAGGTATTGGCAATAGCACCGGCTCCTCCTTATTCAGCTAGGAGAAAATCAAGACGTATTATCTAAAGCAATTTTAGCAAGACAGTCTAAGGATTTTTGTTGAGCTGTCATTCCATTGGCAATTTGAGCAATTTGAGCCATAGTGGTAGATAAATTGTGAATAGATTGTTCTAATTGTAATGTACCAAAAGAAGGAACAGGCAGTCAAAGAAATGACCCGTCCCACCAAGGCCTATCGGCAATGGGATTATCTGAGAGGATAGCTTGGGTATTAATTTCAAGTTGCTGTTCGGTTGTAAACTGTCATTGTATGAATGGATATTCATGGGAATTCCAAGAGTACCTTGGAATAAGTTGCATTGGCCTAGCATATTCCAGTCCTCTAAGCATGGTAAAGTCCAAGTATTGGGTGAATCATAGGACTTTTTTCTTAAATAAGCTGATCCTCCACATAAAAAGACATATCTAGATGGGGCACATAACATACCTGCCCCTGTTTGAATATTAGGAAATGGAATGGATTAATTGACCCTTTCAAGCCAGTCTGCAACTAATGAGTCCTCACAAATGGCTAATTCTCTAAATTCTAGGGGATCCCAGAGTCGGGCAGAAACTGAGAGATTTTGAACATTGTTAAAATAGTTATCGACTACTGCAGAATAATATTGAATGTCATTAACAAAAAGATTGCATGGTCTGGAAAGAATAGAACATTCTAAACCTGGAACAAGTAACATTGACACAGGGAGCTGATAGATAAGTGGATAATTCTGGAGGTAGCCATAATTTGACATGACTCCCAAACAAAAAACCAAACCCACTGCCACTGAGTTGATTCCAACTCATAGCAACTCTATAAGATAGAGTAGAACTCCACTATAGGGTTTTCTAGACTGTAAATCTTATGGAAGCAAACTGTTGCATCTTTCTCCTGAGTAGCCATTGTTGGGTTCAAACTGCTGATCTTTCGGTTAGCAGCCAGGCACTTTAACCACTGCACCACCAGGGCTTTGACACGAATTGCCCATTTAAATGGTCTGTTAATAGTAAAATTAGGTGTGAACCTGTAACCCAAGACTGGCGCAGTGAGAGGATCAGTATGATCTTGTGTAGACCGAGGCGGGGAGCGACATACCCAACATTCAGTGAAATTACTGGTGCTGGCTACTGATTGAGTCATTTTGATGAAAACGTTTTCATTCGAAGCATCAGTAATGGTCATAACAAACAGAAGAGAATAATTATTAAAGTCTTCATAATGGAGAAGAGGTTTGTTAAAAATCATATGATACATTAGAAACCAAATTCCTTTTCTAGTGATACGCTATGGGAAGAGCCAAAGTTGGTAAAATAAAACTTATTTCAAAGGCTACAGATATTAAAACATTGTGCAACAATTTTAATAAAAGGTTCAACTCACTAGATTAGGGTTAAAGAGATTGAATTATTATCAGAGCTACTAAGAAATAATTCCACTAGTATGCAAAAACAGTCAAAACTCTTAAAGTAACAGCAGTTAGGAAACAAGAGTCCAAAAATGTCAGCAGCTTGCATTGACTCTTATTCCGCAGTCTTGAAATCAGCTGCTTCTAAAGTTGTCTTCTGGTCACTGGGGCGTTTCAGTCTGTGTCTCAAATCTCTGATGAGTCCAGACAGCTGCTTTAGCTTTCTTTAACTGATAAGTGAATCCAAGGGTTAATTCCTTCTAGTTTCATTGCACAAGGGTTAGTTAAAAGAACTAAATAAGGCCCCTTCCAGTGAGATTCTAAAGAATCTTTTAATTGATGTCTTTCCCAGTAAACATAATCTCCTGGGTTAATATTGAGTAGAGGAGGAGAGCCAGGTTTCTGCTCCTCAGATGCTTTCTTAATTTGTGAAAAATGTTTTCTTAGAATATTGTACTAGAGATTGACAGTGTTCCAATAATTCAGGTTGTATTAAGTTAGGGTCAATAGAGGCAAAGTAAGGAAGCATCATAGATCTTCCTGTAACTATTTCATAAGGAGTGAGTTGATGAAATCCAAAAGGAGTGTTTCTTAAATTTAAAAGGACTAAATGGAGAACTTTAGTCCAAGACAAACCTAAGAATTCAGAAAGGTTATCAAGTTGAGTGTTTATTATACTGTTTTGAATTGAATTGTTTCCCCCAAAAATATGTGTCAACTTGACTAGGCCATAATCCCCAGTATTGTGTGATTGTTCACCATTTTGTCATCTGATACGATTTTCCTATGTGTTGTAAATCCTGTCTCTATGATGTTAATGAGGCGGGATTTAGAGGTAGTTATGTTAATGAGGCAGGGCTCAATCTACAAGATTAGGTTGTATTTTAAGTCAATCTCTTTTGAGATACAAAAGAGAGAAGCGAGCAGAGAGACAAGGGAACCTCATACCTCCAAGAACAAGAGCCAGGAGAACAGCACATCATTTGGACCCATGGTCCTTGCACGGAGAAGCTCCTTGGCTGGGGAAGATTGATGACAAGTACCTTCCCCAGAGCCAACAGAGAGAGAAAGCCTTCCCCTGGAACTGGCACCCTGAATTTGGACTTCTAGCCTCCTAGACTATGAAAGAATAAATTTCTCTTTGTTAAAGCCATCCACTTGTGGTATTTCTGTTATAGCAGTAGTAGATAACTAAGACATATACCATTAGTTCTTTTTACAAGCCCAGATGACTGAGGTT